ATTAGTGTTCCAGGAACCGGGCGTTATGTTGTTAGTTTTTTATTGTTCAACAATAAATTGTTAGCACTAAACCAATGTACCACAGCGAATAGAGTATTGTTTATATCCTTATAATTTAAGGAATGTCGCTTTACTTTAAAAATTGAAGATATATCATGAGCAAAAAATACTATCTCATGATTATTATTAACTTGCTGCTGCCCGCGACTACGTCTGGCTAAAATAGGCTGAAGGTTACGCCTTTCAGACAAAAAGACAGATATACATAAAATATGTATATAACTTATAACCTATGTCTTATTCTGATGTAAAAGCTATATTATTGTAGTTTCATTAAAATCCATTCAGTAGTATTTGGGTGAAAGGATAACAAACATCGTTCCATACATACAAACTTTCGCGTTTATAATATTAGTAAGGATAATATTATAATATTATAGTAAGGACTAGAGAAGGCAGGGCATTTATGTAAATGAGGAAGAAAAAAGGCCTAAGAACAGATTCCTGCGGAACCAGAGATCACTTGCCATTCACGTCAACTCTCTGAATTCGATGGCTTTTTTTTTCTTCAGAAGACTGAACGCAGTCTCTTATACTGTAGTTTCCTGACTAACACTGTTGTACACAATCAAAAGCTTTGGTTAAATCACAGAATATACCTATGGCATACTGCGTCTCTTCCCAGGCTTCAAAAATATTCATAACGAGCTGAACATCCGTATCTGTTGTTAAGCGACCCCTAGTAAACCCATATTGCTTGTTATGGATAATTTAACCTATAATAAATTATGTGAACTATAATGCTGCAACATTTGATTCAATAAGATTTTTTTCAAAAATTTTACTCAGAGTTGGTAATGCAGAGATGGGACTAAAATTATTTATACAGCGTGTAGTTACAAACGCGACAATAAATGAACACACGTCTAACGCTACTTGCCAATAATCATTAGAAAAATATAAAACGTTAAAAAATTTCATAATTAAAAAAATATATTTTTCAAACAAACTAATTAAGTAAAAAAGAAAAAACATCGTATACAACTACAACTGATGATCTAAGATCCGAATCTAAATCGACCTTCACCGAGCTGATAATAGAATAAAATTTATTTTATAATAAATTTAATATATTAGAAAATATATTAAAACTGGGTTGCCTAAAAAATCTTGGACAGAATATTTTTAATAGTTTATTAAAAAATGATTTTTCATGAAATGTTGCATTATCAAGATATTGTTATGAACACACAAAGGAACTAACGCCATCTAGCGTCAACTATCAAAACCACTAAAGAACAAAGACGACATAAAACCCCCTATTCAACACTAGATGGCGTTAGAGGAACTGCTGTCTCGAAAACCGGGTACATTCGCGAACTTTCCGGAATCACGAACATGTTCGTGCGTGTCGGGTACGTTCCAGGAATGATCTTTCTGGATTATTCCGGAACCGGTCTCGGCCCATATAAAAAGCCGCAGGGAGGCGAGCGATGACAGTTCAGTTTGAGCTACCTTCGAGGCGACTTCGGAGCGAAAACTAGTGATCAAGAGCGATACCAGTGAAACCTACGACTTGGCTACAAAACAGGACATCGTTAGTGCTTAGTGTTTGGACCTAGTGCTTTGTGTTGGACCTAGTGCTATTGAATAAAGTCTTCAAAAGAGTCAGCAGGTCTTTCTCTCCAAATCCTTCGAACCCCTAACACGTAACAATATTAATAAGAAAATACTATCCTGGATTGCAATATAAAACAAGAATATAAATTTTTTTCTATTATCCAATCAGTGAAAGTAACTGATACCGCCATACCTGTTTACACCTGACAATCCCCAGTAACATGTTTATTCTTCGACATGAAACGATTCTGTCATTGTTAGTGGATTACTATTATTTTTTCTCTGTTTATTAATGATACTAACCGCTATATATGTCTAGGACACTAGCCCGCCAAAACTGAGGCAATCAAATTAAGGCAATTGGCGTCATAGATGAATAATTTAGAACCCATCTTATACAGCGTGTCGTTACAACCGCGACAATAAATGAACACACATATAACACATAGAGGATAACTTTTTAAAATTGGATTAAGCATTTACGTTCTTTAAACATTAATATTTACAGAGTTATTAAATTTTACAAAAAAAAAACAATTTTAGAACATCCTTAGATCTAAACAAATAGGTGATTGCTTAAGGGTAGATATGTAATTGGTAGTCAGGTGTGGATTCAAGGAGGGTTTTTGTAGGAAGGCGTACTCTATCTTCCAGCATTACCTTCTGTACGTTCGGGTGAGTGAATGGACGGAACGGAAGGACGGATTGTAAGAGGTATTGTTTGTAGTGTGGGTGGTAACATACTTATCTAGGGGCCATCACACTATTGGTCCTTTTCTCAGTTCTAATCTCAAATAGCTTAGGCTTTGGACGCGGGTCTAAAAGAATGCTTTTTGACACAACATTCGTGGAGAGAGTGAGAATAGCAGACATGATCCTTGAAAAAGAAGCCAGCTCTGCATTGAGCTCTTGTGAGTGATACCAAATTAGTTTTTACTTTTTTTTATTCAGTGCTGTTTACTTATCTTAAGTAATAATTTATGTCTATGTTTGTAAAATCGTAAGTGTGGTAGGGCCACGTAACAGCTTCGGCTGTTGCAAGTATGGTCGGGTCCGCCCAGGTAAGAACCACAACCTAACAGATGACCGGCGTGAAGTGGAAGTGTTATACTTCTGCGTTTCGTCTAGTGAGTGTGGTAGCCGGGGTTCAACTTATCAAAAGGTGGTAACGCATTTGCAACCTTACGGGTGTTGCAAATGTCCAACGGTTATTACTTAATATCAGGTGAACCGCTTTAGCTCGCTTCTCTCTAGAAAGTACATTTGTTATTGTGTTGTTGTATATATGTAGTCATGTTAATAACAATGAATGCGATCCCCCTGATCCCGGTTCTTCTGAAAATCATATTCTTCCCATACCCTGTATTTCCTTGAACCAAAAACGTATTTATCCACATGTTTGGTCTCACGAACGAAGGGTTCCGTACCATTATGTATAAAAAAGTCATGTCTGTTGAATGGGAGCCCCACTTACATTTTTTTATCCTATTTTTTAGTATTTGTTGTTATAGCGGCAACTACACATCATCTGCATCTGCAACTGCAACATTTCAAGCATCTAACTGTCACAGTACATGCCTCATGAGATACAACCGGGTGACAGATGGACAAACAGACAGACAGCGGAGTTTTAATAATAGGGTTCCATTTCACCCTTTGGATACGGATCCCTAAAAAGTATACTGAAGTAGGAAATCAGTTGAAATTAAAAGCTCTTCTCATGCTGCGGTTTTGATTAATCATCCTTCTTTATTTTTTTTTTTATTCCTGTAAAATATGAAGCATCAATTTCGTCGAAGAACTCGTAGCTTTAATTGATATATGGTACACGGCCCAATCATCAAAGCGCAAAAGATTAACATATGCATACAAGCATAGAAGCGAGACTATGTTGTTAATACATTTTAGTAAAAAACTACTCTCTGATCTCAATGCACGAAGGGTTATTTTGGTCCAAACAAATTGCCACATGCATATTGTGTTCCCTTTATTAATTGATTTTCCATCTCTCGTCTACATGGACCGAATAAGTTCAGCGGTGCGGATGCTCTCCAAAGGGCCGCAGACCGCCTCGGCGATTGGTTCCGCAAATGGAGAATTGAAGTAAATCCCGGCCGGCTAAGCACTTTAACTAACCAGTCAAGTAAAATGTCTTTAAGACACAAATTACTTTTATACAAAGCTTGCGTACGGCCAATCATGTCCTACGCATGCATGATTTTCGCCCACACGCACCCTACTCGTTTGCACAAGTTGCAAGTAGCACAACATAAGTTCATCCGCCGTGCAACCGGTGCGCAGTGGTATCAACGCAACGTCAACCTGCACAGCGATTGCAGACTCCCGATGATTCGCGAATTTTTCAAAGACCTGACTAAACCGTTCGATACTGTCGAACATCATCCCATCCGGTGGTAAGCGCAGCAAATTACCAACCCGATGCAAACGCGAACGTCAACAACCGTCGGGGGTCCCGCCGGATAACACTATACACACAGTTAGTGTTGCAACAACACATTAGTTCGTCCTCGCCTCCGAGCACGGCGAGACCACCAGAAAGCGTACACAAGGTACACCCGCGTTCTAGGGCGGTTCTCATCGCCCCCAGCCACCGATTAGCTAAAAACGTAGTCGATGACCATCGGGGTCTCAGTCCGCATTGCAACCTCGATGGGCCTTAGATAAGATGCCGTAGTTAAACGCACGCATGAGCACATGCGCGGCCCTACCCACAACGGAGGACCCAAACCCGTGAGTTCTAGCTAGCCCACTGGTTCTGCGTGAGATGAAGCTTTAATAGTCTCGGGACTGAAAGCACAAACATCAGTTAATACAAGATGCAAGAAGGAGCGGATGACGTCATGCGCGGATGCAAAAGCTTCTTCTCTCTCTCTCTCTCTCTCAAGTTCGTGGCCCTTCTACTTAAGGACCTTTTCTGATCATGCTATAAAAGCCGTATGGCTAAAAGCGTACTTCATAAAATTATTGTCTTTTTTTACTCTGTATGTATATATAATGTCAATCTATATTCTATCTTATATCTATTATCGTTTAGATTGTCTATAATTTAAAAACAGAATATAATAATAAATGTATTATTATTATATTCTGTTGTATACATATTTACAATGAATAGGAATGATTTGTTAATAACTTTAGTTGGGAAATTCGTACAATAAAAGTAATACTTTTTTAGTCTGTATATATATATATATATATATATATGTATGTAATGTTAATCTATATTCTATCTGTATCTATTATCGTTTAGATTGTCTATGGATGTGTGGGTTTTATGGTTTGAAGAAATTGTTAATTTAAAAACAGAAAATGTATTGATATTTTTAAACTAGGGATGATTTGTTGTTACAATTAGTTTAATGGGAAATTCGTACAATAAAAGTAATCAATACAGGGACCAAAGGCCATCAGTCTTTTCAAACCAAGACGCTCAAGCGTTAACAAGTCAGGTATAATATACGATGAAACAAAAACTTGCTAATGTCATTCTCAGCTGAACATACGTAATAGAAATAAACGCTTTGTTATGCCTAGGCTAAAGTAATTAGTTTTTATTAATCTCACTTCACTGCCTTAAAATCAAAATGCGTGCAGCGTAATACGGTTATTTATCGACTAAATTCATTGTTTGGATGGTATTTGTTACCTGAGCGAGTAAATATTTTTGTAATTTTTGTAGTCCAGTCTGCCCCATTTCGTCGGCAATCTTAGCGGGCGTTCTTTCGTTAGCTTAACAAGCAGCCAGTCGGTGTACAGCGCATCGCGACCTTGGTCTCGGGTTGCTAGAAGAAGGTTAGTAGATCATAAATATATTGTATTATTTTGCTATTTAAACTTGCATTGATGTCACCTATTGTGTGCTAATAATAAATAATATTTTAATTTTCAAAACATCACTCTTTAAGGAGGAATGAAACAACATTTCACAACAATTTAGAAGCAAGTAAAACATCTTGGCCTATAGCAAATAGAGAATCCATTTTTCTGCCTGAATTTCCTATCACTGCAAACTTATTACAAAGGGATTTCCAAATTCTAAACAATATTGCCAAAGGTGCTTTTGGAGAAGTTATCAAAATTAAGAAAAACAGTGATGGAAAGATATATGCATTAAAAATCCTCAACAAATCACAGGTAATTATAACATTTTTATTCATTTTAAACTTTAAGTATAACCAAAATGGCAAAATGATTATAATATGAGTTTATAAGTAATAGTTATAATAGCAATTGATTTATATCTACGGTACCAGTATTCAAATATTTGCCCAATTTTACTCAGAATTGTGGGGAGTCGAATGTAGAATCCTGTTATATGAAAATGATTTTTTTTATATATGACAAAGTGGCAAACGAGCAGGAGGTTCACCTGATGTTAAGAGATAACCGCCACTCATGGACTTTTGCAACACCCATAGGGTTGTATATGCATTGTCACTTTTAATAAAGTGGGCACTCACTACCTCACTCACCAGACGAAATGCAGAAGTGTAACACTTATACTTCACACTGGTCTTCTGGTGAGGTTGTGGTACTAAGCCAGACGGACCTGCCCATTCTACATTAAATATATGTTATATTGTTGAAGCAAACTAAACAAATTTTGGGATATGCAAAGAGATTGTTATTAAATTAGGCTGCTCAGGTGTTTATTATGTATTCTTGTAGAGAAAGTTTGTACCAAAACCCCTTATTTATGAACTATTTGTTAACTTCTATGCTCTTGCTCAATATAATAAGTTTGAGTGGGATGAATGGTGGGAATCTTGTTTGGGTTAAGCACCCGTGTCTTGCATTCAAAGTACTAATATCTCTGCATGTTATCACTTAACATCAAGTTAACCACCAGCTTGTTTGCAACCTTCTCACATAAAAAATAAGGAACCAACCATAATTTATCATTGAATCAAAATTTGTTTGTTTGTTGAATGCATTTCAATAAGATCAAAAGTAAATAAAGTTAACAAATTTATTGTTAGTTAGTTGATGCTTCTATTACATTTTCTTTAGTTTTAAACCTTTGATTATTGCATTCTTAATTCAACCACAGTATACCATAACTATCTCCACAAATACTTTTTTTATTCAAATACTGTATGCAATTAAATCTTGAGCTGAAAATAAAGTGACCGAGAAATAAAAAGTCCTTTGTCTTTTCTGTTTCAGGTAGTAAGTGAGAAAGCAGTTGAACAAGTTAAAGAAGAAGCGCGTATACAATCTGCCTGCGGCCACCATATCTTTATTGCCGGTGCTGTCTTACGCTGGCAGACAAAGGAAACACTTTATATTGGTAAGGAGTGTGTTGATTCTCAGTTATTCTTCTTTAATTTTTACTTATTTAATTATGCAAAAAGTTTATTAAGTTTAATTATTAAAATTTAGTATTAAACATAATGTTATTATATTGTACCTTTTCGAAATTTTCTTTTCAATAATAGTGACTGAATAATAGTAGCTCTTACTTTAATGGTTAAATTAAATCTGTTAATTATCTATTCTAATATAATCATCTATTATCTAATCTAATATGTCTGGTAAGAAAACAATTTGCATTATGCTTATTATATGGGTACACTAGACATATTTTTTAGTCATTGCATTCCACTTATTTTCTGCGTTTTATTGTTACATTATACACATAATTTGGTGATTTAATGTAAATTGTGTTTGGTTTAATAATTTTTCGCACAATTAGTAAATTAACAAATTTTATGCACTTGTTATTGTTCAGATGAGCATTGACTAAAGTTCAAAGTGAACACTTGGAGAAGCCGTGATAATCACTTGACTGCTATATGACCCTGCTATCTCACTTTAAATATAGGCATATCTACAAGAGTTGCAGACACTAAAAGGGATAAGTTTGTAGTATAGATGATATAAATAATGCTGTACTACTCAAAGTACTGTGTACTGTGGAATAAAAAATTTACGGTGAAAAGTCTGTCTCTATTTTTACAAATTTTGTTGGTGAAAGGGTAGTCTGAGGTTGCATATTAATATCGGTATGTAACATTAAGCTTCTTTTTTGGAAAGCAAGAAATTTAAAAAATCGGCCAAGTGCAATTCAGATTCGCGCACGAAGGTTCCGTACCATTATCTATAGAAGCGGCAAAAAAATCATGTCTGTTGTATGGGAGCCCCGCTTAAATATTTTTTAGTACTTGTTGTTATAGCGGCAACAGAAATAAATCATCTGTGAAAATTTCAACTGTGTAGCAGAGTCTTAGTAATAGGGTCCCGTTTTACCCTTTGGGTATGGAACCCTAGAAACAGGAATGTGTTGGTGCCTGCCGCCTGTGATTGACATTCATAACATGAAATTTGTAGTGGGCATATCATATCAATTACACATTTCCCTTTGTACAGCTACTTTTATTTCATGAAAAACTTCATTTTATCAATAAAAACCACCATAAGGCTAATCAAGTGTGTGTAATATAAATTGTGATGTTGATTAAATTATCACTGATAAGGAATGACCTACTAAACAAAGGTTGTTGCTCTGTTCAATTATAGTATTTTATTCATTATCAGTATAATACCGAACATTATCACTAGATTTATCCATTTATGATTATGAAAAAAAAATTAGGTCAGTCTTGGTTGAATTGTGTCATTGGGGTATTTGATTAAAATGAATTTGCTGTAGTGATTAATTTAGAGGTCATTATCAAGTGATCATAGAATATGTGTATTTTGTTTATATAGATTGGGATTTAATTTTATTTATGTTTAGTTTCAGAATACATTCCAGGAGGTGAATTGCTAGATTTACTAAATAAATATAAGAAGTTGCCGCAGGAACTTGTCAAAGTTTTTGTTGCTGAAATTGCTATTGTAATAGGTAAGTTTTTTATTACAATTACCATGCCCTAAATTAGAATTCCCTTTACAATATTCTTTATGTTCTCTGCGTTTAGCATTTATGTAATCTTTTTTTGTTCCATTTTCTACCTGGAAGCTGTTTAATTGTGTAATGAATAGGGAAATTAATTAGTGTTTGATTTATAAATTTAACCTGTTATCAAATAATGTTACTTTAATGTGTCTTTTTTTAATGTTATTTTATTAAATCATTTGTAGCAGATAAATAATCAATATTTTCTTTTGTTAAAGATATGTTATGTTAATGTTTATTTTCTCTATTTCAGATTTCTTGCATAATGCAGGTGTCATTTACCGAGATTTAAAGCCTGAGAACATACTCTTAGACACTGACTACCACATTAGACTGGTTGACTTTGGACTGTCAAAGTGGCTCTCTATTGGTACCCGAACAACCACACTCTGTGGCACTCTAAAGTATATGGGTAAGTTCTAAATCTGATTAATACAATTTTTTTTTATTTGGTAAACAAAACTATAGTGTAACTAAAAAGGTCATTTTCCATTTCAGTGTGGGATTTGACTTGTTACATTTTTTAACCGTGAGATGGCTCAGTGCGCTGCTCGCTCTGTGACCTTATTGCTTCTGAAAAGCATCGGGAGTGCTTAACAAGATAACCTGTTTCTGGTGATTATGTCAGTGGAGGCGTTTGCGCGTGCGGCTTGCCTGTGACGACGGCAAGATGAACGCCCGCAGCATCTCCTTCGAAATGTCCATGGAAGGCAGACAAGTGGACGAGGTGGTCGCGAGTATATTCCACACGGTACTCTTCCACCGCTCCAGCGGCAAGTTCACGTACAACAACGAGGAGAGCTACTCCATACGGACGGTGAGCTACATCGACGTGGACTGCGACTTCATCGACTTCACGTACGTGTGCTGCGAGTCGGACTCGCTCGGTAGGAATGTGAAGCGGGAGATATCCGAGTTCTCGGACTTGCTGCGGACGGCGAGCTCGTCGCCGCCGCGGGGCTCCATCAGCCTCGAGTTCTTCCAGAAGCGGCGCGCCCGCTGGCCCTTCCAGCCGGAGTGCGTGCCCTGGGAGGTGTGGACCGTCTGCTGCGAGCTGACCGAGTCTCACAGCGAGCAAGACATGCGCAGCCAGCACGAGAGCGTCGTCGAAATGCTCCAGGACAAGATCGTCCACATAACGGAGATAATCAACCGGCACGAGTACGTGCCCAAAATGCCCAGCCGCTCGGACGCCGACCTGATATTCGACACCTCGTACCCGGATATCCAGCCGTACCTATTCAAAATACAGTACAACCTCTCCGGAGCGCCACCGACGTCGGTTGGCAACACTGTGCGCAAACTGATTCGCGACACACTGTCTTTGTGATCCTTGTTGTGCGTATGTGTCCTTTTTTACATTTTATTATTTGTTTCTTTTTATATGTGGTATCATAGTATTGGAAATGACTTCATAGTGATGTTGACATATTTTTTCTTTATTTTCCTCGCCATTCTTACTGATTTTCAATTTTACGTAACAATTAGAATTGCTTGAAATAATTTGATGCGCATTTTATAATTATAATGTACTTATTTAGGCACAAAATGTGTTGTAAGTTTATGTTGAGTATTGTCAGCGTGAGAACCTAACCATACTAGTCCCTTTATTAACTCATGTAGTGTATTTTTCCTTTTATATTTTGTGTGTTATCTTTGTTAATATTCTCTAACTGCTCTATTTATTTTGTGATATACACAGTAAACGTCAATACATTATAATAATATTAGCAATATATAGTTTTAGAAATATGATTTCAGAGCAAAAACTAGAAGGCTGGTTGAAGTGTCCACTCATTTCTATATTGTTTAAGATTTATTATATTACTCTCGTATGAATTTTAAGTTCTTAGCGCATTTTATTATTTGCGTATTCAATTAATAACAAATATCCACAAGTAAATTAGAATTTATTTCACTAATAATTTTAAAATCAATTTGACATAGGTTTGTAAATATTTGTATATAAAACTTCCTGCCATTGCTATCAAATATGACAAGTTTATTTATGACACTGGTTGGAATTTAGCTATAATATTTGTTCTTGTATATGTGGTTTCTTTATTTTAGCCACAGAGAAAGTGCCACTGAGTGACATTTGATGTATTATAAAAATTGTTTATTCTGTGGTTTCAATTTTGAATCTTGTTTTGTGATATTGCCAATGTTGCAAGCGTTAGCACATTAAAAAGTACATTTTGAAGTTTTTTCATGTTAAAATTTTAGAATAGAGATTTATCAACTAATGAATGAATATGATTAACAATTTAGATATATGTTTGAGAAATTGTAAATATTGTACAGTGCATTAGAAATTTGTCTTTTACTGTATTGATAAGGTTGAGGTATTAAGAGCTTTATAAAAATAAAAGTTGAGGTAATTTAATTTTTTTAACAGTGAATTATAATTGAACACAAACAGTGAGTTAGTGTGATTAGTATTCAGAACTCTAATTTTAAAGTAGAATATGGTGCATAGGTCATATTGTCTGCAGTTAGAACCAGAAGAGTTCTTCCACTAGTAGGTTAGCCTATTTTTAGTTTAAAAAAATCTTTAACTGTACTTGATGGATCAATTATTTGGCAATTTACAACATGACTGTAGGTACCTATTGTTTAGAATTGTATAAAACTCCTATGGCACTCTGAAAAATGTTTTCTATGATAAAAAATCCATCCATAGTTGAACTTCTGATTTACTTTCCTACCTCATTTTGTGACTTTAGACTTAGTGTATTGTGCATCTCCATTGGAAGTCCATTTCCTACTTCCTAGTTATATTTATCAGCATTACATTTGTCACCAAAGAAGAGGCTGTACATATTATGCAACTGCGGGAACATTCAAATTCTTAATGCCTACTATTCTAATTGTCTTCTTTTAGATACATATGTCTTTTTCATATCAGCCATAACTTTTGAAGCGTAAAATCGCATTGCCTGATTTAAAGTCTTATGTGGTGATTCTGGTGATAGGACAATATATTTTATTGTATTATAAAATCTTTATTATGTGCCTCGTTTTAAGTCGTAACATTGTTGTATGTCAAGCACACTGTAAAGTAATATATTATCTTTGCACACATACTATGGCCTTATTTGAAAGATTTTGATATATCTTAATTGTGTCGAATAACGGCTGTTTTATATTAGTTTATGATAATTGAGATATGTGGTATCTGTTGTGATGTACGAGTTCAAAAAAAAAAAGCAAAAAAATTTAGTCTTGTGATAATTTATACTATATATATATATATATATATATATGTAAATAAATAATGAAGTATTTATCAATTGTTTTATTTATATTTTAAATATTGTTAAATAAATAAATAAATAAAATACCGTGCAAATGGTTAATAATTTTTTCCTATGGTAAGGACTGTTTTACTTTATGGCATTTCACACTTATAATGTGCCGCTTGTACATTGTCAGTTTTTATATTTTATTTTATTAGCAATTGAAATTGTCAGTTTTTATTTACTTTAATCCCTTAGAATCGACTATGCTCTGATAGTTTTCAAGTTTTTTGACAAATATCAGAGCATTACTAAAATACTTGGTGCAATTTTTTTCTGTAAGAAAGCTGGTTAAATATACTCTTGTCCTTTTTTAAGATTTAATGGCTGTAAATTTGAGATGTCGCCACACAATATAAAGGGGATGAAAACGATCAGTCATCACTGTAATTTACATCTAAGATGAAATTGTAATCTTAGATGTAATTAACAGATGAAATTGTAATTAATGATACAAGGCTACAAAAACGAAACAAAGTTCAGTCGAAGTAAAAAAAAAATTGCTTCCTGAGCTTTTAAGTTCGTCCTATCAGATATATTCTCGAATAGAAGACAAAAACCAGTGCCGAAAAGATAATTACAATTTTTATTCTGGTGGAGTCACGTGGTAACTTACAGGCCAGCACTGTAATATTTGTTGTAGGTACCTTACTTATTAGACGGTATACTTCCAGTAAGTGGTGATGGTTTCTGGGGCCTATCCTCCAACTGCCGTCCCACTTGTGTTGTGGTCACCACGGGCTCGGGGAATAATTCATCATCGCGTATAAAAAATAGCTTACGTATGATCCGATTTCTTATAAATATCAATACTAATGTAAAGTTCTATAACTTTCTAGACATTTATAAATGTCATGTCACAAATAATCGAATCAGAGTTATTTGTGTCAAGTGATGTTTTAATAAGTATTTAAGACCCTACAATACAAATGTAACAATTTAATGCTAGTTCAGCTCTGACTATAGCTATATTTGTTTGAGGGTCTAGCATAATTAAGCACCTTTTCTCGTTGTCCGTAGCACCTGAAGTTCTTAGTCGTGAACCATACGGGCACGCCGTGGACTGGTGGTCTCTGGGTGTCATAGCTTGTAGGATGTTAACCAATGAGGTAAGTTCGATCTGATTTTAAGATATTTCTTATCGTATAGTATATTAAGTTATATTTTTATTTAACACTAATAAGCTATTAATATTATATATATAAATAAGGATGACACTAGCGCACCGAAACTGACACACTTTAATTATGCGAATTGGTGTATTTATATTGCAATTCAATAGACTGTAATCCGTATCATACTCTAATCTGACACATTCACTTATATAATAGCTTATATCCATCAGTATCATCATAGATAAGACATATATACTGAAACATATATACTGAGTATCATCATCAGGTGCCTTATAACTAATGCAATTATCATATTTGAGTGTCTCCTTGACATCAGTCCACATTATGCACTTTGCATGTTAAAATTCTCTAGTCTTTTCGGTCCTAAATTAATGTCTTTTCGGTCCAAAATTTACTTATGTGCTCCGTTGCTGGTCCTTTTGGAATGACCCAGATCTTTTGACACAAGTAGACGACTTAATCAAAATTAACTTAAAATCGATTTTTAATATGCACCTGAACAAGCAATCTTGGACTCAAGCATCCCTACCCATCCATTATGGTGGTTTAGGGATTCGCAAAATTTCCAGTGTCGCTTTACCAGCCTTCCTATCTTCTGTCCATAGTTCAGCCAGTCTGATAAGTAAAATTTTAAGGACATCCCCTACGAACTTTGAGATTGCTGGCTTGGAAGATGCTAGAAAGGCTTTCTTAATTGCATGCCCCCTCACCAGGGACATTTGTCTGTAATGATTAGCATTACATCAGTGAGGGGGAGAACCGAGCATTACAGTACGCAACCTGTAATATGTAGTCAGGAAGGTAGTATCTTTTATCCGTTTCCTAGATACCGATTATATATATAGTACCCGGAGGACCGAGCTTTGCTCGGTTTGTTTTTTTTTTTTTGGTAAATCGTGTATTTTGGAAATTACATTTAGATACAAAATTACTGAGTAATGAAATATGCATAATTTTTTTCGATCTTACCGACGTAATAATAAGAAAATATGAACTGATGTTTTTCAAAAAAAGAAAGAACTTTAAAAAAAAGGGAAAATAATAACAAAATAACAATTCGACAAAAAATTTAAAATAAAGAAAGCAATGATTTGGAATCGAAACAAAAGTAAAAAAATAAATGTGTAAATGATAGTGACGCGAACCACGGCCGTCTGTTTTGGAGCAGACCGATTACCGACGGAGCTATTATGACATTTTCTTTTGCGGCGAAATTTACCGTCATATTTCCGTCAATTTTCATGAAAATCGCTGGAGCCGTTTCCGAGATTCCAATTATATACTAGGAAACGGTTCCAGCGATTTTCATGAAATTTAGTATGTGCGTAGATTCAGGGGCGAAAAATCGATCTAGGTTTCATATTTATAAAATGTCCTTTTATCCCTGTTTTAAGGGAATGAAAAATATAATTCGAATACGACGGTAAATTTCGCCGCAAAAAAAATGTTATAATAGTTCGGTCGGTAATCGGGCGGCCCCGAAACAGAAGGCCTTGGTTCGTGCCACGATCATTTACACACTGATTTTTTTCGATTCCAGATCATTCCTTTCTTTATTTTAAATTTTTTGTCGATTTGTTATTTTGTTTTTTTTTCCCTTTTTTTTTAAAGTTCTTTATTTTGTGAAAATCATATTTTCTTATTATTACGTCGGAAAAATATTATGCATATTTCATTACTCGGTAATTTGTATCTAAATATAATTTCCAAAATACACGATTTACCTAAAAAAGTCCTCCAGGTACTTTTAACGTAATGCTCAAAATGTGATATAAAACGTAACATTACAGCCAGTGGCGGATTTACCCTACGGCCCAATAGGCCCGGGCCTAGGGTGGCCGCCTTATTAGGGGCGGATCGTGACAAAAAAATTACTGATGAAAACAAGATATATGATGGGCGCTGAGAAAGGGGCGGCTGTAACTTACTACATGGGCTGGGGCCTAGGACGGCCAGGACTACAAATCCGCCACTCATTACAGTCGTATGCTCCCGGTAAGGGAGCAACTTAATAGCATTCGGCGAGTTGACCACAAACATTGCTCCGTGCAATTAAAATTCTCATACTTTATAATTATAGGAGAACTTATTACTATAGTTTTACAGGGTGATAGACATTCGTGTTGTAGAGATAAACTAAAACATTTCTATGTCGTAATATACATATTCTAATTGGATAAATGTACAGAATACAGATTAGATGTAGTAACTTATTTGAGCCAAGTACAGCTGACAAATCGCTGGTTCTGTATTTGATTCACAGTCGAACTATTCGACATAATATAACAGACACTGGGTTGAATTGGATCAAAATCAAATCCCTCCCTCGCAGCGTCAAAGTTATCTCGCAACTGCTAAAACCTCATCTTAACAGATATACATACAAATAAATAATAATCATACAAACATATTATATAAATATATGTATATATAGTATACTAATATAATCTGAAAGTATGAGAGAAATAAAAGCTCTGCAATGTCAATGTAAGGTAAATTTCATTATTGTTGTCTATATTGTAACTTTATTTTTTTAATCCTTCAATCATGTTAGGAAATACTGTTTCCAAACTTTCCAATACCGTTGAAGTCTTGTAAACTTTTGGACACGATGTGGCATTTGTCTTAAATTTTCAATTTGAATAACGCAACTATAGTTTGAAAAATGAATATTATTTAAATTGTTTAAAAGTGTCATTGAAATTTGAGGTTGCCCAATTTTCATTATGTTGTAAATAAGTTGAAAAAGAAAACAAATTGACGTGTCTTCAATAAATGTGGGCACGAGTTTTCGTAATAGTCTAAAGCAATTTGTGAAATTAATTCACGTATCCATACGTTAGCAATATTACATTAAAAAAATATGGACAACACAACTAATCGTATGATTATTTGTAATAGATTTAATGAAATACATATTTTAAAAGCATTACATAGGCTACTGTGTAATATCATTTTGAGGTTAACAGTTTTTAAGAGCGATAACTATGCGTTCACATAATATTTTATTTTAATATTTATCTATTTTATCCGTTGAAGATGCTATTTGCTAAATTAAAAGAGAAAAACGATCATTACCTATGTCTTATTTGGTAGACACTTTTACTGTAGAAAACATCTTTGTGAAATCAAATAATTTTTTTCTACTTTATCAGATGGATATAGAATACGTCAATGTATCTACTTTGTTTTATTTTTACTGACATGAATTTAAGTGTCCATAATAGGGCAAAGGAAAACACAGGACATTTTAAAAATCGTTTTTATTTCTTACATTATCTGAAATTCGATAATTTACTTCGTGGAATAATAATTACAACTTAATGTAATTTATTTCGGCTCCCGCTATTTAAATAAGTCTCTAGAATCTATTGAATAGTTGAGGGGTGCTCACGCAAACGTGGGCTAACGTTCGCCATTCGCACACCCTCGGAATGCATCACAAACACTGTACAGCGGCGCGGCGCGGGCGGAACGCGCGTGTCGAGACACCGTGTCGACACACGCCTACCGCCAGGTGCTAATATCCCACCTATTTAAGATTTGGTGGCCTCGCTCGCCTTCTTTTCGGTGAGCTCCTCTGATGAGTCCTTTTCCACGCTATCGCCCTTTTTCTCCTGGCTCTCCACACTCTCCTCGGAACTGTCGGCGGGCGCATCACCAGCAGGTTTCTCCTCTTCCTTTATAGCTTTAGACTGAACGTCACTGGCCTTTGGCTCTTCGACGGGCTTAGCTGGTTCGACGGGTGTTTCTTTTGCCGGCTCAACCACCGCCACTGGTTCGATCGCTTTCAAGTCCTTAGAGTCTTGTTTCTTTTCGGCTTCGCTCTCTTTTGGGGCTTCGACATCTGTGGATGTCCCTACAGACTTAACGACCACGGACGGCGCGGCCGATTGTTTCTCTTCGACAGTATCGCGGACGACTCGTAGGGGATCATCGACGGGTAGTTCGGCAGCAGATTTGGGCTCTGCGGGTGCTTCTTTGAGAACAGGGGTTGGGGCAGCGACTTCTGCGCTTACGGGTTTTTCTTCCTTTTTGGACTCGACGGCTGCGCTTTCTTTCGGCAAACTCGACTCTGAAATGGGTTCTGGAATAGGCTCAGCGCTCTTCACCGTGGCAATGGGAACCTTTTCCGGCGAAATAGCGGCTGGATCAACAAAATCGTCAGCGACTGCGGCGGGACTTTTAATGGCCGACACCACGTCAATTGCTTCCGCTGGCAGGGCGGATTTAGGCAGCGGTGCAGATGATTCCTCTTTCACTTCTTCAACTTTGGCCTCAGATTCTTTTTTAACGTCTTCAACTGCAACCGCCTTTGGTAATGGTTCCTCTTTTTTATCTTCGGGCTTGGCCTCTACGGTTTGGCTTTCCACTGGCTTTGCCTCAGGCTGAGCATCAATTGGCGCAGCTGACTTGGCTTCTGGCACTTCAGGCGCATTCACAGCGGCTGATTGTTCAGGTTGCTTAACCTCCTCAGGTTTTGGTTCAACGGGAGCACTTTTCACTTCGGGCTCTTTCGGTTTTTCAGACTCTTTATCCTCGACTTTCTCTTCAACCTTTTTCTCCTCGACAACCGCCGCGTCGGCCTTAACTTCAGGCTTTGCTTCTTCGACTTTGGATACTGGCGTCGATTCGGCAGCAACAGTAGCCTCGGGTTTCTCCTCAGCGATCGGCATCGCCAGCGTCACGGCCACAACGGCCATGCAGAATATTAAGACCTTCATCCTGCAAAGGAAAATTGAACTGTTAGTTGTTTGAAGGAGTAATCGCAGAAATTGCCGTAGATTTATCGCACGCCACCATAACATCGTGTACGCGGTAAGGCCAATGTTACGCGCCGACGACCGGCTTCGACGTTTTATAGCAATTTTCCTATTAAGGCTGAATCATCTGAGGGCGCCCGCTCGGCGAGGGTACCCGATCTGTCAGTCGCATCGAATTGAATTTAATTTAAATAAATAGGATGCACTGATCACCGATGTCATCTATTATGCAGGTTTCCATTCGTTCGTGAGATTGTTCAGTACCATGTGAAATAAAAGTAAATGAAACGTTTCAAATAGAAGAGCGACTAAGTTGTTGCGAAGCAATTTTAGGCTTGAAGTTAAATCGAATTTATAGTAAAAGCGGAATGCACGTATGTATCTCGCGTCCATTGAAGGTACGACCTCAACGATCGTAGAACCCGATCGATCTATTAATAGCTTGGCCAACTAAGGCATAGCGTTAAAGCGATATCCCAGGTCCCACTGGAATGCGGTTTGGCGCCGTTCCGCAAATAGATCGGGCTACGATCTTCAGCATAAATTTAACCTCGAGTTACAAGAATCTTCATCAAAGACTCGTTTCTAAAATTTTCCATTATAGACTGCACAAAACTTAATTGCGTGACTAAAGCTCGCCTTCTCATTTCAGTATTCGATATACAAAATTGGTACTCGGGTATGTGAACATATATTTTTTAGTAACTAGGCAAGAGAAAAAGATACTGTTTTTCATTTGTATTTTTTTATTTTAAAATAAAAAAAACAGTTCCAGTAGGAAACGAGGTTAATTTTTTAAACGTACGCTTTATCCTATAGGATTTGTCGTATAGTTGATGCGTATAGAATTCGGTCTGCAAGTTCACAGAAGATGGACACTTCCTAGCGCGTGCTCGGTGGGCAGGATGCGAAATGCGCGTCAGTAATATGGATGATCCGGCCAGACGGCGAACGGACATTATATGAATTTAAATAGGTTCATTGAATAGAATCGGCGACTAGAATGCAATAGATGCCATCGCATTCGTAGAGTGATTCATTGCTTCATGTGTATACATCAGGTACTAAACGAATTTGATTCAGACGAAGTAATGAATATAGTTTTAATCCATTCTCCCTTCAAAACACCTCGCGATTCGTAAACTATCTGTGAATTCGAATATGAAATTCTATCAAATAAAATGTTTGTCTATTACTCTACGTATTTTTATGATTCGATTTTATTGGATATTATTAAAGTCCGCGTATTTAGAATATCACATTCCATCGGCTATTGAAAATAGTGTGGGATATATTCGAAAGTTCAATTTATAAGTTCAAGAGAGTTCAATGAACCGACATTTCAGATGGGATTGGGGGTTATTTCAGTTTTTATTTACCGCAATCAATGTTTCCGAATAAGAACATAATGACTTTCATAACGCTGGTCTTGCTCGATCGTTACCTGTTATTACACTCGGCCTGTTCTCGTAACGTTTTTTTTCTCACTCATCTTCGCTTCTGGTAATCGCCTTAATATGCCCTAAAACTTTTACGTGCTACGAGCTATCGAAATTAGTTTATATGCCGCTTTAACACTCCTAAACATTTTGAATGAGAGACAAAAGCAACCTTATCCGATTAAAAGGAATGTCACAGAATTTTTTATGGTTATTTCTTTTAGGTAACTTTTTTTATTATTCATCATTTCGACTTAATGGGATATGGGAACATAAATACTCCCCTCAAATAATGAGATTTAAATTGCACTGGATCTCGTTTGCTAAAGCTAACTACTTTGATGATTTTTTTTTAACAACTATGAATATTGTCTTGCCTTCTAAAGTATATGAATCGATAAGACCGCTCGTGTATTGTAATTTTAATGTACGTTATTTGTGGAAGACTGCGACGCGCCACAAAGGAACCACGTCGATGGTTTAACAGAGCGTTCTCGAGTTATTTTCTGGAAGGATATCCTCGGAGCGGTCTGAGGGCAAGGATTGTCGCCTTCCCACACGGCCCGGCAATCTTCCAATTGATGCAGCGCATGCCCGGCTCATTGTGCCAATCAAAAAACGTGCCGGCGGCCGTCGCTTGGTACTTGTGTGGTGGTTTTCCACGTGACGCCCCTTCCCCCCTCCCCTTTCCCCTGTGGAGTGTGGAGCGACACACGTGTGCCTAAAACTTCCGCACGAGGAATGTTCCCGTTGGTGGCAATTCACGCAAATATGAACGCGGACGCAAAAGATACTCTAACACTATATTCGAAGATTTCTTTATCACTTCAGGAAGCTTTCTTTGTCAGAGAATTATAATCACTTCAGAATTAAGAGTTTGGTATGACAGTATGGACAAAGAGTATGGACAGTTTACCCAGGGGACCCCGACCTTTGATACATTTATGCTATCAGTCTAGGCAGAGTTTGTTTTTTTCTTCTACGCATGAATGTAGGTTCCAAATTCGATTCGTTGTAATATTCCATTGACAAGAGTTTACTGACCTTTCATCGGTTACGCGACGTCTTTTCGTTTTCTAGATAGCTAGGCCTTAGTTTCGCGGGTTTCTAGACCCAGTTTGCGCGCAATCTGTTACGTGCTTGCTATTCATTACGCGACCCTTGCAAAATTTGATCTCCGGCAACGTTCATTGTATCAATAGCGTTACGGTCGGCCGATTGTATTTGCGAAACGAACATACTTGCCCCCAGTTCAGTGTCGTTTGACCATAACCGACATACAAGGACCTATGTTACCTTTGTGAAATTTTTACAAAACTAGGACTTTGCTAATCGATTAGTATCACCTCATATTATCGCAAATTAAAAAAACAAATATTCATAAACGCGAAGCTCTTATTTTAAACTAAAAGCCTTACCTTATCATCTCGAATCATTATTAAAAACCAAAAGAAGAAATAGTAACCGTCTAGTAATACGTGACACGCTATATTAGACGAGCAACGTGTCGAAATATCTTGAACCAACTATAGAGCGATAAAAACGAACGAAGATCTGAATCCGAGCTTATTTTCCAATTAGCTAGATTGCTTCGCAGAATATGAGATCGTCCTTTTTATTCGAACGAGACGTCCGCGGCATAATGTAGCCGAGTCGTGACCGCTCGATGGTGCAATTAGGTATTTGCCGTGTCCTCAGCGTAGTTATTCCGCGGAGCGTGCGTCAGGGAGCCAACGCCATAACTAGTATTAACATCGGTCTCACGTACAATGAGACAATTTGTATATTTATACATATCTGTGGCGTTTTAACAATCCTTTAAATTGCACAATCACGAGCCCTCCTAAATGTTCCACGAACGCTGCTCTACGACGCAGGCCTTAACGGTTCGTTTCTCATTTGTTCCTCTTCTATTTGTTGTCAATTGATCTGAATCAGAGTGAGAACGATTTAACTAAATCGCGATTTATTTGCATTCTTCATAAAAGATATGTCTGTTTTTTTCATATAGAAAGAAGCGCGTGGTTGCTACATAACTGACTATTAATAGCGTATTGTCCATTTCTCAATTAAATATACGACATAACAAGTTGACGAATAAAATAGAGAAGTAACTTTGTTTGTCAACGTTAACGTTAGCTTCAGTAGCTGATTTAGAATCAACAAGGCAATATGTAACGATGTGAGTAATTTGTTTTAAGGATTTGTATTTCAGGAAATCGTAATCAAATACAATGGATAACGGACATTCAACAGTAACTTAATCAAGTAGCTTTATGCCACTTTTGTGTAACATATAGTCAAGACCGTGACGGGAAAAATTCTAAAGGTATTTTTGTTTATTATCTTTATTTACCTAAGTATTAATGAATCATTAATCTTTTAACATGTTAATAATAAAGTCGAATAAACCTTGACTTACAGATAATTGTAATATATTATATTTGTCCAGTTCTCATTATAATATTGTCACAATATTTGGATTCAATTAATATTAATATACTTATAGTGAGCGTAATTTAGATTCGGCGATAACCGATTGTCTCAAATTCTTAATATGCGTTTCTTAGTCTAAATCCATAAAATCTTATTTATCCATGATGGAAGTAGTTTAAACAGATGTTTATGTTTTCGCTCTACACGTTTTCAAGCCACCTACATTTAGCCTTTAAATGTCATATTAGAATGGTATTTTTCCATTGCATCGAATTATTGCGCACTCTTAAACGCGGTTTGAAACACCTTCGAAGATTATGTTCCAATATGTTTACTTATCACGTGCTCTGCGGTGAAGGAAAACATCGTGAGGAAACCTGCATATTTTCGAAATTATAACAAAAAAAATATTTAGAAGCCATGTAAAGTACCACCTATCCGCATTGGGGCCGCGTGGTGGACTATGCCCTGATACCCTCCGTACGGAGGAGGCCTTTGCCCAGCAGTGGGACGTGTACTTTACATGTTTATATCTTTATGAAATAGTTGATAATTTTCCCTGTATTTTGTATAAAAATAAATAAACAACTAGTTTTGTAAATCTAGACGTGGCACGTTTGTAGTCAACAAATAGCTTTTGCGACACAAAAACGTTCTGATGCCCTTTTGAAATAAATAATTGAAGTTCCTAACAAATTCCTCTACTTTCTAAAACTATCTGGGTTCATATTTTATCACTTCATGTGTTGTAATCAAACCGTGAACGGTAGCCCTATAAATCATGCGTCAAAACTATTGTAACTTTATACAGGGCGAGTGCGAAATATGTGTGATCCTTTCACATCTCCCGTAGTGTTGTGTGCACGTTACACTCGGTTACCGTCGAATCATTGCTCTATAAGGTGCGCCCGTATGTCTGTGCACCCGTTATTCGGCTTGCAATTGTGCAACGCCCGACCTACTGTTCACTGTCGACGCAATGAGACCATCAATCGATCCCATTATTCGATATGCGAGTGACGAATCAAACTGCCTAGCCATGACATGTCTCTAGCGACAGTCGCGACGCAACATTTACGCCCGGTTTCTGAAACTTTGATCGTCGTAGAAGTCAACTAATCAGCTGTCATGGTTTTTCAAATGTTATTTTAGTTGCCAAAAGGATTTTTAAACAAACAAAATCACCACGCGTCTTAAAAGCGATGAGCTGCTTACGGGGTGATGCAACGAACAGCATTTCGAAATGCATCAGCAAAGATAAATCACTGGCCGTCCATTTCACTCGGGAATCTTAGGTCAATGCCAGCGGAAGAGTCGCCGGTTCGGTTTGTGTAACGGCACAAGCCTGCTTGGGCAAGTGCTAAATGTCAACAAATGTACCCGTTTCGAGCCGAGGCAGCCTCGCTCGGGCTAACTTATATAAATATTTATACTGATTGGATAATATTTCGGTTGCGCGCTGACATAACCGTTAGGTTGTTGACTTTTTATTTCTGGTCGAAAAGAAATAAGTTCTCTTCTAAATTTTAAATAACGATCCGGCTTTAATGGCCAGTATTCGACAGTTAAAACAAAATTAAATTCGTACGTCTATTACTTTGTTGTTTTCTGCCGAGAAATAAAGGTCCTTAACATCACTTCCAATTAACTAGAAACCTCCTCGTTTTGCACACATTAAACTATTGAACATAACTTAAAACTTTCACTTTAATATGTACAGTATACTTGTTGTTCACGAGGATATGGAAGTAAAGTTGAAATGTAATTCTCTTATTTTCTTGTACAATGGTTTAATTGATTTGAATTATTTAAATAGCTCCCTTCTAATTGCCAAGGCTTGGCATTTTAGTTCTCGTGTACTTTAACTGCTTATGAATTTATATTTAAAGCTGCGAAAGATTTTTATTATTTCAAAAAACCATACTATTACTTACGCGAAACTCATTCTCTTTTCACTTAACTCTTTTTTCCCTCACTAAATGAACCTTTTACTCTATGCTAATATATGTTTCTATTATCTGTTGAGTTTTATGAGTTAACGAACTTCTTGGATGTGGAAATTTATACCATTTTCGATTTACTTCGACTCCATCTGAATATATATATATAAATAGCACTCATATAGGTAATATTACCTATATGAGTGCTATTCAGTACACAAACAATTAAAACAAAAATTTATTTTAGTTTTGTTGCTCGCCCTTGTCAGTGTCGTCTGTTGTACGAAAATAAATCCGAACTGTAATAAGCTTGACTAAATATTCGCGGCCCGTGAAAATTTTAATGTTAGACAATTGTCCGCCCTGTCGTACGGTTACCTTGAATGTTCAAACTCTTTAAATCTTTCGGTTTGTTCGTTGTATGCGATTGAACAGATTAACTTTAGTGTTTCACTATATTTCTATTCCATATTGTAATGGAATTTTTGTTAGAAATAAAAATATTACGGATGGAGTCATCCATACAGGAAAGATACTGCGTAAATAGCTTTGCACGTGCTTTATTCACATACGTATCAGCATTGACGCGTAATATTTTCACCACATTAGCCACATTATTTTTAAAAGTAATAAGTGCGTCAGACAGAGGTAGCAGAATGCGAGGCTTAATTTTGTTTACCATTCTTAGCCGGTCCATGAAGAAAAACATTGTTAATACACTATCCTATCTGAAATAACATCAGAATAATAACAATTTTTTTTTCTAATTCTGTGCGATTATTTTATGACAGTGAAATTCATTCGCGCAGCCTAAAGATAAAGTTTAGATTTATTGCGCGTGATGTATCTTTACGTTATCGTTAAGTACACCTCATAACAGGCAACTTCAGAAGGAGCACTCCACGTCATGGACCATGATTGATTTGCGTTTTGCGCGTTCCTCTTATATCGTTCGCGGTGCTCGCCCTATCGGACGGCTGTTTCGCTCTTTTGCATCTGCAGCGTAACTTTTTTTTTTATCTCAATCTAAATCAAAGCCCAGGGACTGAGTCACGATCTTGATTGGTTTTTCTTATCCTCGTGCGACAAAGCGAGGCTCTTTAGGGCGTTTAAGTGATGATTACGTTTATTTCGCAATTATTCCTTTCCAATTTAATCCAATCCAATCAGCCTTTTGTAGTCCACTGCTGGACATAGGCCTTTATTAATATATTAATTATTCATTTATTTATACTTACTTTATTATTGACACCTTTTATAGGGACTATATAGAGACAATAGATGTCGTGTGGCTTCAAATGATTATTTGATCAACCCAAAGAGTGGGAGAAACAGAAGAAGGTGCTATAAGATAGTTATAATATGTAACAAAAGAGATAAAACATGTAGATACCGTTTTATATCCGGAATTCGTGAAGTATTGGTATAAACACTTGAATTAATCATTTATATATTAATGTAATAATTAATGTGTATTTCAAGTCTTATGCCTTTCTAACAGAAGTGGTAAAAGTAATGATGCATTGTGACCTAGTAAGCTATTGTTTAAGAGGTCGAATATAAATAACGGAAAATACTAGCTAGCTGGGAATCAAATAGGATATTGTTGTGCGCGGTTATACTTTGGGGCAATAGGGCTGTTAAACAATCTCCTGCAAAAAATATATAACAGTGGTAATGTACAAATTTATTTTAAAATTTACTGTATATGCCTCTATGCCGTTCGCAACGCATCGATTCCATTGTATATCGACAGTAGTCGTTTAATTGTTTTTGTGAATTTATCGCTATAGTACTTTTAATAAGGGTAAATGTTTAACCACGGTGAACGGTTGGAATCTGTAAACCTGTTACTTCGCCTAGTTGCCAGGCCTTGACTAACAATGTCCATAGACAATTCTATAAAGGCCGATTATAGTTGACTGTTTTGGGTTTTGATATCTTTGTATGTATGAATCAGTTGCAAACGTAAAAATGTTTCTCGTAATGATATAAAATAGTATTGTTACTATTATTTTACTAGATAGATTTAACCTTTTGTTACTCAGTAAATTATTATTAAAACATTTCGCTATTGATATTCAAGTGTGTATTGTATAAAACAGTTCTTTCAAAATAATACTATTCAATGCAGCGATCTCTTCTAACACTATTCTCTATTTACTTCTAACAATATGTACCGTAAAAGTTTATTTATTAAACTCTGATGTTTCAATCAATAGTTTACAGGTAGGTATATAATTGTTTTTTTTTATAACGCGCCGTAAACATGTATCGAAGTCGTTGAAGCGTAAGTTGAAACCGTTCAGCCTAGATGGCAGGGACTCGGTTACAAAGTTACGCCTTTGTCCCATGAACCACAAGCCGTTGACTATCCTACCGTGAAGGATAAGTCTTTTATTTGCCGCGCGCAATCGTATCTCTCGCGTTAAGGGAAAAATTATCACAAAAGCTGTAGATAATGTGAAATTTTTCCAAGCTCTTACACCGTGACCGTGCTATAAGTAAAACTTGAGATAGTGCTATAACTTGAGATAATATCTTATTAGAGATTGCGAGAGAGCTCGAAAAACGCACTGAAATTTAATCGTAGCTTTTTGAAAAAAATATTAGATGACTACTCCAGAACAAATTACGGATATTTAAATCAAATACGTTGGCCGTTAATAATTGAAATAATTCGCTCAGTAATATAGTTTAAAAAGAAACAACTTTGAAAATGGAATCGAAAGAAAGTCCGATGTCGGAAAATTCAAACTCACCTGAAATTAAGATCCCGGTATTCAAAGGCGTCTCGACGAGAAGCAAACACTTACACAAATTGTCGTTGAAAAAAAAAAGAAATTTGTGTACTCGTCAATTTTTTAATGTTAGCGCTGTGACGGTCGGCAATGTATTGGTGGTGGTTTGATAATTCCCCGTGTTTATATAGGCACTGCGTTTCGGTGGCGCGTCGGCTGCCATTGCAAACGATCTGCGTACGGTCGAACATCTCTACATTACGGGCTTCGCTCCGAAGCACCGTGGGCATCTTCGTAGTTCTGGACTTTATTTCGTTTTAAAACATTTTATGGCGATCGTTTTTTTTTTTCTATAAGCACAGCGAGATGCCAGAGTTATGGAATATTTTTTAATGTATCGTAAATGTTGAAATGGACGTAACTTGCCGATGTAAGTTATTTGTGTAAAGCTATAACTGAAATACTTAACAATTTTTATACTTGTTGTGTAAGTTATTTGTTGTATTAACGATTATTATTTCTTTCACTAAGAATGTTTATTGCTGTAATTGATTGACATTATGGTGATTGACTTTGAAGATCTTTTAATGCATTTGCACCCCGGATTAATGTATGCACAAAATTTTGATACTTCAATCGTTTGAACACTTTTTCAATGATATTTTAAGTTTTACTTATTATTGACTTTTTCTTTTTTTTTACATCATTATTAATGATAGGTTTAATAACTGTCAGAAACGAATTTTGAATTATTGTAAACTTCCATTATCAGTATTTCTTTATAAATTACTACTTTGAAGACATTGTGAATGTACACAAGTCTGTCTCTTCAAATTTTTTAATTAATTTTAATTTAAATTATTCTTGTTATCAGGATAGAGGTAAAGAAGGAAGGAAGAGTTTTATATTTAATTGTTGTATACGGGTTTTCATTCTCATAAGTGATAATCTAATTCTTATGACGAAACTATTAATGTTTAACATAATAGACCTCTAAATAATAAAAGTAAATATTATATATACAGAAAACTGTACTTAGTTTCACAAACCCAACAACAATAATATAAAATCGCTGTATTATGCTGAAACGAGACTTTATATTAATGAGCCTTTTACAAATAATGGAGACAAATCAAATAAAACCATTTAACTGTTGGGTCAAAAAACTTATTACATTTTACCGTTTTCGTGGAAATAAAATAATACCGTTCCGAGCGACCCATCACTATTTTAGCGATACATCCTCCACAAGATTAATATGCATAATGTTGTGATTGGGCCGGGTCTTATGTAGTCCTTGATGTTCAGAATAGTTTTCGCGATACGCCCAAACCAACCCATAGATTATAATCTAAAATACCGTTTACAGAGCTCTCTATGTCGACAGTAATTCGAACGCTAAGTATGATAATGACATAAACATTATTTAACCTTGGCCTATGTCCATTACGTGAAAGTCAGTTTAAATATTTTAAAATTCCAATCGCTTACACTTTATGGAGGGTTATCTCCTTAAGCGGCGAACATATTTACAACGGGAAACTTATGCATGCCATCTTAATAACACTCATTTATGGTTGAATGGTTTTTTTGTTTTCGTTTAAAACCTTGTTTTTACTAAAATTTGCTCCAAATTTCAATTGATCTGATATGAAATATAACTGTACCACCCCAAGGTTGACTGGGAGATAATGCTTTTAGCATTAAGTCCGCCATTGTACTATTTGTGCATAAAGGATAAATAAATAAATAAACTGTATGGAAACGAAATTTTATTAAATATGCGACAAAAGAATCAATTATTAAATGAAACGATGAATTTTTAGCATATAATTAATGCATTGTGAATACATTTATATCGGTATTACTATTTATTATTGATGTATAAATTCCTATATTCGTTTTTCCTAAACACGTTGCTGTGTTTGACGTAATTTATTGAATTACTCGTCAACTTATCGAAGCCCCGCATTTTTATCAAGCTGCGCTAGAAATAGAAACGGCTTATAGATCTAATCATAGACTATCCTCTGCCTATGAACGTCTAGACCGGTAAATGGCCTGGACAAGGAAACTTACCATTGCTTCTCTGTAATGGCCACTTTGTCAGAGCGGTTAACTTATCTCACGTCGAGCGTATAGCGAGAACTAGTTTAGATAGCCGATTTGATACTTATTAACGCTTAACGAAATTTTTAATAATTTTGTTGTATTTAGATGTTTGTTAGTTTCATGGAAACCACGGAATAAAACAGTTTTTGTGTAATTTTTTATTACAGCGTATGGCAATTAAGAGAATTATTATCATTCAATAACAGCAAAAATCTTTACATGTCTTAACTTTTGAACTTGATCATATCTTTACTTTTTAAATAACTAGCGACCCTCCCCGGCTTCGCACGGGTACAATGTATTATACATATGAACCTACCTTTTGAATCACTCTAGCTAGTAAAAAAAAAACCGCATCTAGATCCGTTGCGTAGTTTTAAAGATCTAAGCGTAAATAGGGACAGACAGAGAGCGGGACGACTTTATACTTTTTGGTTTTATACTATGTAGTGATGCACAGCAAAGAGACATTTCAAGTGACTTTTACCACAGTCACCCATTTGTTTTGCCTTCCCGGAACCCCCCCTCCACTAACACTTAAACTTTATGGTATGGTATTAAAGTTCAAACTGATTTTTAAGTATTATTAAGAATCTTTTGTACGGGAATATAGAAAAGAGCTGTTTTTAGACTTTTTCAGGCTTTTTTTTTTTAATTTTTCTCTCCGTAAGAACCATCTTCCTACTTCAAGGAATATTATAAAAAGAATTAGCGAAATCGGTCCAGACGTTCACGCGTGATGGCTTGACCAAGGGAAATAGGGATTCATTTATATAAATATATAGATTACATGCCGCATGGCGTGTATAGTGTAGTGTATCGTTAGTGTATATAGAACTTTGAGTACTTGATACCTATCGACGACAAGAAGGCAATAAGGATTTACGTTGCACGAATCTTTGATAAAGAAATTAATTAACTTATTCGGGTAAAATTTTTTACAATACAATTATAAAAATATACATTCGTCTATTTTCAATAACCGTTAAGAATTCAGGGATTGATTAGCCCCAAAATTTACAAGTACTGTGAAACATGAGCCGTCATAGCCAGGGCGTACGGTACAAGAGAGGGCGATCTTTACTTGTAAAACATCCGAACAACAGAAAATCCATTGGTGCCGTGATTCAAACCGGTGATTTTAGTCTGCCTCTGCAGCACTATGCAACGACTGGCTTCGTGTAATTTTATACACCAGTGCTGTCATACGACTCTGAGATGACGTGCATAAAGCAGATCAAGTCAGATGTAAATAGTTACATGGAGTGATGTTGACATTTTATGTGCCATCATTTTTGTAAATTTGTTGTAATTATTTAAAACTGGATCGCGGATGAAGTCACACACCAATGAGTTTTGATATATTTATAGTTATAGTGGGTACATAAAGAGCAATGACGTCACTTTAATGGAGAGGGGCTAACGCCAGTGCATACAGTCTGTTGTAGTATTTTTCTTTATTATCTAGTTAAATCCGTTCGTTAAATATCAGTGAAATCAAACATAATTAGAGAATCACACTTTACCTTTGTTGCTCTCAGGCCTATATTATGAAGAGACGGAAAGGTTCTCATCGTGGGGTGATCAGAACTGGCCATGGCATAAACATATAGAAAATAGACTCTATTAAAAGGTCCCTTAGTACGGTTCGGTCCGATGAGGTCCGTTGTTACGCAAGGACAAACAGACAAACGTTTTCGCATTTTCTATACATAAGGGACGCTTCTTCCTTCCATTCACCCTGTTAGCGTAAACGGTTAGGCGCTTAATCTTTTGACGCAATGATCCGCGAGATAATTTTATAAAGCACTATTAGGTATAGCGGGTTTTTTAAGTAGTTAACGTCTTAAACACTATAATAAAATACCAAAATTAAATTTTTAATATTATTCTATTTTATGAGATATTGATATTCTATATAATACCTTTAAACGAGCAATTCTTGTATATATATATATATATATATATATATATATGTATATATATATATATAATCGGAATCTCGGTAATGGCTCCAGCGATTTTCATGAAATTTAGTATGTGCGTAGATTCGGGGGCGAAAAATCGATCTAGCTACGTTTCATTTTATCAACCAAAAAAAATTTTATAATAGATCGGTCGGTAATCGGGCGGTCCCGAAACAGAATGCCTGGGTTTACACACTTATTTTTTTTACATTTTTTCTATACCATATTTCTATGCTTCCTTTATTTTTTATTTTTTTAGTTTCCAAAATATACGATTTACCAAAAAAGTCGGTCCCAGATACTATTTTTAATAAGTGTCTTTATATGTATTTTGTATATTTTATTTGCCTCAATAATTCAATATTTATTGATCTGAAGATTTATGATTAAACACCGGATCGCAGAACGTGGAAACCAAATCCGCCATTTTGTTTCATAATTTATTAGTTTTATCTCACCCAATACTACAATTAACGATATTTAATTGTCTGAGTTATTTCGTAATACGTTGTTGTATTAATTACAAAAACAATAATTGAAATGATGTAGACGACAGCAATTTTTCATTAAAGCGATAATTTGGCATTTGACTTTTTTTATTTTGCCTTGTTCTCTTTGACCTTGAGCACATCGCTGACAATCGTTTAATTCTTACGAAATGTATTAAAAAAAGAACAAAGATTGTTAAGCGCAAGTCGTCATTTTTTATAATAAACGTTATTTTGATTAAACTAATAATTTTCTGAGTATAAAATATATTATTTCTGAACGTGACGCACCTATAATTATACCTATCGACCGAACATCGAACGCTTTCGGATTGAATAGTGGAAAAACAGTCGACACATATGTGCATATCATCAATTAATAGCCATTTTATTTCTAAAGAACTTTTATTTTATTTTGGAATTAAAACGGTCAATTTTGTTAATTTCGAAACAAGGAATTATATATAGTAATCTAATCAATAACATTTATTTAATAATATAACAGACTTCTGTTACGTACTTATCTTTTACATCAGGGACTGTCATTTAACTGCGTAACATGATATGGTTTCAAGTGTTTCCTGGATAATCTATACACGATAGAGTTTAAACTATGTTGATTAGATTTGAGATTTTTTTTTTCGCCCAGGGACTCAAATTGAAACTTAAACATGCTTAAGTTCGTAAAATATTTTCAAATTTCAGTTCTTTGATTTATTAATAAGACTATTAAATACATATTCGAGTATCATGAGTTACATATAGTACCAGCTAAATCCTTAGATACTCCTTTTTGAAACGCATATATTTATATTATGCTGGTTATCATCAACCGACTTCAAAAAAGGAGAAGGTTCTCAGTTCGACTTTATTTTTTTTGTTTGTCATCTCAGAACTTTCGACTGAGTGAACCGATTTTCATGATGCTTTTTTTTTATTTGAAAGCTGGTACTCCCCACGCGGTCCCGTATTAATTTCATTGGTATTGGATCTTGGGCTCCGGAGATACTTAGGGAACTCCTGAAAATTAGTCGGTTTTTTTTTCTTTAGTAAAAATATAGGCTTGTTTTAAAAAAAAATCTAAAAATAACAAGACGTAACGTTCAGACAGAAAGACGATCGCGTTTATTTCCGTAACGTTGTTTATTATGTATGTACTTAGATAATACACTATCTTGTCTTGGTGATAAAATGAACTATGCACATAGTCGCTGAGTCAGAGAAAACTCTACAACATTAAGGTGAACGTAAATAAAGTTTACATTAACGTTGTGAAGTTTCCTGAATAACATCATCAGTTGTGTCATTTTTATCACGGACTGACGCGCGGTATTCTACCATCAACCTGTTGGTGGCTGCTATCCACCTGTCAGGTAAAGGTCATTGGTTGTAAACGTATCAGATCAGTAGGAGCATTTTCTCCTGCGCTAAATCCACGTTGTAGTTGACCTCATTCTTTTCAGAAACTCTTTGGTGTTTCGTGTGTCCGCGTACGTGGGATAATGTACCGTCTGGAGTAAATATTGCTTGTTTGTTGCTTGTGTGAAAAAATGTATGTCGGCAAACTTTTATATTTATTTGTAGTACGCAGAGAGATATTTATTTATTTATTTAAACTTTCTGCACCAACATTTATGTACAAAGGCGGACTCAATGCCATCAGCAATATCTCCCAGTCAACCTCGGGGTGGTCCAGAAAAGTTAAGGTAGGTGCATTTATTACAAATTTACAAAAAAAGAAAAAAAAGCAATCATAAGATTTTTTTAATTTCTACATTACATATTATAACTTTTTAAAAATACCGGAACAAAAGACCGTCGAGGAATAGAAGTATTATTGTATTGCGTTACGTCTGTTGAGTGAGATAATCAGGACCCCCTCTTTTAAAGGTTGAAAGCGTATAGGCAACCCCATGGTGTTAACGTGTCCCAGGCGACGGTAAACATCAGGCGAACTGCCTCTTCGCTTTATTTTAATTAAAAGTTTTCGTTTTCGTTACGTTACAAACTTTACCTATATATACATAGAAGTCAAATAAACATCTTAGACCATAGACACGCACGATTGGAATGGCTGCATCCGCAGACAAATTGAAAACCTCATTTATTCCCTAGCTCAAAGTTATTCTAAATTCGGAAGGGGACAAAACTCAACTGTCGCGTCTAACTCGCACACCACTGTTGCCGGGCGGGCGAAGAAAAAGGAAAAAAAAAACTCAATCTCGTTAACGGCACATGCAAAATTTTGATAGTTCGCATAAAATTCGCGCGCTATTAGCATTCGAGACGCGCCCGCAGTGCGTCTGTTGGGGCTCGCGTTTTATTCATACGTCTGTTGTCAATGCAAGCGAATTTGTCGCCGAGACGTATGAACGTGCCGCTGAATGAGTGTCCAGTACGTCACTCCTTCGCACTCCAAATCACCGGGCGAAGTGAGAGAACATGAGATCAACGAACTGATCGCGCTATTAGAAAAATGGTGGACCGTGCTCCGAGGTGGGTCGCGTCCGGTCTTGTGTCTGCACTCTACGAAGCCATTAGTTCCAAAGTGACAATTAATTATCATTCTAATCTGATCTGAGTATTGTTTCTTCGGGTTTCTTGAACATTTTAAGTAGTATTGTGCCTAAATAAATATATTTATGTATTTTTTTGTGTAAATATTTGTTCTATGAATGTCGCTACTCCAGTATTGACGTGATAACGACGCGTCAAGCTTTTAGCTAATGAGGTTTCAATCAAATAAACGTTCACTACTCAACGTTCACGATCAGGATAAAAAAAGAAAAGTAAAGTCTATACATGTCCCACTGCTGGGCAAAGGTCTCCTCTGTACAGAGGGTATCAATCAGGTCATAGTCCACCACGCGGCCCCACTGTGGATTGGACGGACTTCACATATCTTCGAAATATGATTTTTTTGTTATTATTTCGAAAATATGTACCTCATTGGTGCCGGCACCGGGGATGGAACTCAGGTTGCTCGAGTATATTGAATCAAAGGCAAGCGCCCGGACACTGAGATCGAGGAGGAGGAGGCATCTGAGAGGAGATCTCCGATTTTGAAGCCAATCGAAACTATCAATGCAAGCGTCTAAAAAGAATCTATAAAATTCAGGTCATATCTTCGGGTTATTTTTTGTATAACCTGAATCCTTAATACAAAAATCGGACACAGCATCTAGTGGCCTACTCTCTTATCTCTTAAAATCAGCACCGCTTTCGCTGGCGCCCTCAATACAGTAACAAAATCTGTTCTAGTGAAACATTCTGGTATCAAGAACATCGGAACCACGGAACTATAGGCGCTTTTTTGTTCTGTCATCTGCCAAATCTAATTTATAATATGGATGGCGCAATGGCTTAGTCGAACCCTTGTCAACTGCGATTGCGTGGTGTTGTGGGTTCGCACCCCACACGAGACAAAAATGTTTGAGCTGCATAAACAGTTGTTCAGAGTCCTCATTTCCGTGATATCGTGATGGTTGGTCGCCGCGAATCAGGTATTGTTTGCTAGAGTAGGAGTCGTTTGTATCACCTAGTTAATAATGAAATCATGTTTTTGTATATGCAATTGCAATTTATTCGATTAAAATGTGATTAAGGCCGTATTATTAAAAATTCTGTTTTTATTTCTTCAAAACATGCGGGCAATACCTATGTGCATTATACATAGCCGAGATTATACATAAACAAGATAAAAAAAGATAACATTTTGTCACAACAAACAAAGATGTCATCGGGAAAATATTTTATTCCGTCATCGCTTAGAATGACCTCAGTTTTTAGCGACCGGTTAATTGACCGTATCCCTAATATCCTCGTTCTTCCATTGGCTAAAGTGTTTTTGTGTTTAATCTGTACCTTTCCGCGGGATTTCGCGGCAAAAAAGGTATCATTCACGGTCTGATGTCAGTCGGATGGTTAAATCGTATGACGGACTATTCCGTTACTGCTTGTTTATTTTCCAATTGCAAGTTTACTATTACCACGTATATTGGAATAGAGTTTTAAATACATTCGCGTTTTATTTAGCATTAATTATCAACTGCCTTACACGGTTGGATTTCGCGAAAACGCTTTCATTCGGATTGATAAACATAGCCTTCTCCACTCGATATTGTTCTGGGAGGAGTGACGGTGCGGTGCTGATAATGATAAATGGTCTGTTAATTTCTTCTCTTTGCTTTGGTATATGACATAAGGAAAACGACTTTTGAAAATCAATTCAGGCGTTCTGTTAGTTTTCTTTGTGCTAACCAAAGTCAGTGATATCATACTCCATTTAAAATAACGTTCTCGGAACATTTCGATAGATTCGGTATTAAAATACCGAATAACTTGATTTTGCTAATTACAATCATAAATAAATAATAATAATCACGATCGTTACGTGCCGTCTCGATTGTATTTTATAGTTTCGCACCATATTTAATTTTGTGGGAACATTTTCACGGCCAAACAAAATTACCTCTTCACTATAGTTCATGCGTCGAATCGATTATAAGTTGTACATTTCAAAACATTCACGTCCGTCATGCATTATCGTTGACAATCATTGCCAAGGAGTCTTCATGTTCATCTGTCACTCGTTGTGCATTGTCAAAATATTACACTATATAATATAACTGTATACATACAGCATTGTCCTAATATTTTTCGTCTTAACCCAGTCGAATGTTTCGACTTATTTGTATGATACTTTTAGCCGTAGTTTTGCTTTCTAGTTCCATTGAAGATGTTTGATTTTTACGAAATAAACGACCTTTGGATCAAGTTCAAAACATGTTACATGTGCACTAGATGTACACCGCGTATGCGTACCGTAAAATGATAAAAAAAGAATGGGGGACAGTCATTCGCTGTCTATGATATGACTGTTCTTATTCATCAAACTCCATAAACTTTTAGTAAGCAGTGAAAAATATCTGGAATATTTATTTATTCAACGTGTTTATTTCACTTGCGTGCAATATATACTTCGAGAGCATTTTAACATTGAACTTTCAGCCTTTGAATTTATTACCTCGACTATTAATAATGTTTATACATTCCATTGTTTCTCATTCTTAAGTTGTATAGGGAAATATATATCTTTATTATTTACAAGATATAACATTAGGTTTTGATAAACACGGATTAAGCGATATTATTTTCTATAATGCTATTTGATACATAACACTACAAAAATAAGTAAAACTATCGATTATCTCAAAACTATTATGTTTATGTTTAGTTGCGCTATAATTACTACAGTCGTATCGCAGAGATTTCGATAATAATGACATCAATCTTAGTTATTGCCTAAGGTAGCCTACATTTGGATCAAGTTTTTGTGCATACATAAAAAATAATAGAGTAGATCCTCGATTTACAATACCAACGTTGTTATTGTTGATCGAAGGAGTAATAAAAAATGGAACGCTCTATTTGTGACAGACCATTTCGACCCCATATTTTGCGAATTTAATTGAGCAGTACAACAAACAATCAATATAGGTTTTGCGTTAAGTTACATAACATTTATTAAATGAAACTAGTTTACGGATTTCATCGCGTTTTTATTTTGATTTTAATTTCCCGACGTTTCGAATCCTTCTGATAAGTGATGTAGCGACATGTGACAACTCTTCGACCTTCCGTCTGCTAAACGGTCAGTTGGTCTACGCCCTGTTTTTTTTTTTATATTACCTGTATTTATTATATTTTCGTTTGACGAATTTGTAAGTTTATGTTCACCGTTAAGCTGCAATGTTTACGCAATCATCAAAATAATGGAACTATTTACTGGCATCAGTATTTCCTTCTGATGACGATGCGATCGTGTTTAAGGTCAGAATGTATAGGGTTTTACTAAGCCAAGGATGCATTAATTTTAAATTTATCTATAAAATATACGTGACATTAACTATTACGTCATAACAACACCTGGGGACTATTAGCATAGCTTTTTTCTTACTTATTATTAAACAAAAAAAAAAAACAAGAAAAAAGTATAAGTGAGATCATAGTAATGTATACGCGATAGTTCACAAGCGGAAAAGAAGGGTCAGTACAGACAACGGCATAATCGTTTCTTTTTAAATTGCCATTACATAATAAAATGATGAATGCAGAAGGATGCCACATGACTGGACTGATGAGAATTCTTCCTTTCAAAGGAAGAAGTATGTTGGCAATTACTAACAGTGCGGCAATGGAAATTAGAATCTCTATGCTAATCATGAATCTATTTACAACTCAACAATCCTTTTATTGCGGGCGGATGTACCGAGTGTTACTTATATTCATAGACGTACATATTACACGATCGAAGTTATAGAGTAGTGGCCTGCATATGGTACTTCCGTTCTAAAAGCTGCGGGTTCAAATCTGTGGCGGGGCAGTGTTACGCTATTGGGAATTTAAAAATTATTCCACTTTTCATGATTATATTACGTATATAAGTGAATATGATAGATGACATAGAACATATGATACCGAATGATTGGCACCGTAATTTAAGTGCCTCGGTTTCGGCGCGATAGTCTCATATCTACCTCGTATTTGTATGTAATATCATTGAAGACAATATCTAAGACACTTGCGGTTTCTGAAACAATTTGTTATATAGAACGAAACTGTGATCGTATGACTAATCCAAAGACGTCAGTGTGAAATTTTACATTATTTTATTGCCTTGGTTACCAGTTTTATTGGCTTAGGCGCCGGGGATCGTGGGTTCGATTCCCGCACGGGTGAGGTATTTGTATGTCCCACAGATAATTGTTCCCGATCTGGGTGTTTGTTCTCAAGGACGGTTGACTTCAGGCAGACAGGCGCTTTGTCGTAAAAAGAGTATAGCCAAAACCATTTAAAACACGATTCGCATGTTTTGCTATTCCCATTTAGGTTGGATGGAAGGATGATGAAATTTCATGGCTTTTTTGGAGCACGATGTCTACAGATGTATCTGTTCTATGTTTACAACCCTTTGTTTTTAAAACGTCTGTTCTATGTTTACAATTTCATATGTTTCAAATTTATTGTCTGTAACTACATCCGAATAGAATATTAATTGAGGTTTTCATGTACGCATACAACTTTCTTCCTGTCCTTTAATGTTATCCTTTTATGTTATCCCAACTCTCCTTTAATGTTAGATAAACAAAAACAAGTAGCTAATATGTTAGATAATTGAAGCAAAAAGTTAATATTTTCCGTTTATCAATGTATATCTGGTTAACTAACACTTTTTCCCTCAATTTGAAAGCTATTTCTTATTCCATCATGTAGGCCGTCCGTCCAGTCAACGAGGAATAAAAACGCAAACAATTTATCAGTTGGACAAGTTCATAAGTTTTCATTCTACTATTATAATTAATAACTCAATACAGCCATTGTTTTCGCGCAGTATGTTGAAGACTATATTAGATAATTATGTATTCCCTTTATACGCGATAAAAAGCCTATGTTTGATCTTCTAACGAAAGATTACCAAAATATTGATACAGTATTGAGAAATATAAGCATAATGTATTTTATACTTCCTGAAGCGAGCGGGAATTATCTAAATGTTTGCAATAACAATGATTCATCGCAATAATTTTATTAACAAAGGAGAGCATTTTTATTTGTACAATTATTTAATGTATTGGCCTACTACAACTCACGTTAAGGCAATTTATATATCGTAATAATAATAATAAATAATAATATTTTCGCACTAAGCAACGCTTGTACTATGGGTACTAGATCACTGTTAAACATACATTTTTTTTGTAAATAAATACATATATAAACACCCAGACACTAGAAAAACACTATGTTCTATACACAATATTTTTCCAGAAGTGGGGATCGAACCCTCTGGCGCAAAAGGCAGGTACACTACCTACTACGCCAATCGGGTCGTCAAAACGCATAAAAGAGGTATTCGCGACGGAAACCGAACCAAGACCCCTAATTAAAATTCGATCGACCCCCGTATCGTAATGGAACACGGGCCGGGCGGCAACGAATTTTAATGGCCGAAATCTGCATTTCGCCACACGCTCGTGTTTTAAGTGAAATTTCGACCAAATCGGATGTGCTCCATCCGCAAATAGCGCATTTA